GATTTTAAGGACAGCTTTATGTAAAACAGTTTGTAATAAACCATACATATGATCTGCCAAGCATGACTTAGATTTTTAGGTCTGTCTGGTAAAATGTCAACTTATATCCAAAGGGTACAGGTTCCAGCAGCATTTCCAGCATACCTATCCCGCAGTAGCTGGACTCTAGGACTACCCAGGAACATGCAAAAGTTAGGGGCCTGCTCTGTAAGGACAATTCCATCCTTTCAAGAATGCAATACCATAGTTGACTGAGAACCTTAATGTACAAACAGAATTTCAAAAATTGTAGTTAGTACAAAAATGAAGTGATTCCAGAAATGGTACTCAGCAGGTTCTGACCAGCTCTGGAGAACTGGTAGCGGAAATTTCGAGTAGTTTGGAGAACTGGCAAATCCCACCTCTGACTGGAGATTTTACAGTATCCTTCCCCTGCCATGCCCACCAAGCCATGCCCACAGAACCGGTAGTAAAAAAAAAAATTGAATCCCACCACTGAGTGATTCCCATGCTTATTGGCATTAGTTAAGTCCCATGAACATACTATATCTATACTGCAAGCCATGAATTGGCTGCCTGTAATTGAAAATGTTGATTTTTTAGCATTTTATAAAGCCCTCTACAGCTTGGTACAGCTTGGGTGCTCCTGAAAATTGTTTCAATCTAAATAAGTACATAAGCATCCCTGTGCATAGATTATAAATTAGAAAATCAAAACTGCATTGTTGTACTTGGTCCAATCCCTGCACCATTGTTATCCCTGATAAGAAAAGCATATTTATCTCAATTTGCACCTCTGCATAGAAATTTGTTTACATGAAGTATATTCAGATGTCTGTCCCATGGGCTGAATGACAGTCTTCTTTAGTATCTAACATATCCCCTGTGTTCATTTAACATACAGTATTCCATATATGATGCTGTTGCCACAACTGCTATGATTTATCCCAGAACAGCTATAGGATGGGATGAGGCTGAGATTCTAAATTATAGGTTTTCCGAGCAGAAGTAGTAGAAATGTTAATTAAGTTTTAATTTTCTTAGTAATCCCTGGTTTTATTGCATGAAACCATGAATGCACGAGTGGGACCATACATATGAGTTCCGCTAAATTATTTCCAGACTTGTTGGCTCTGTCTCTGACATCACTGAGTGTGAAGATTTGGAGAGAAATGTTGGAAGCATGCTTGGCTCATTAAAGTTCCTAATAATTTAGGAGGATTCTAAATGTGCTTGGTTGAAAATGTTTAACAACCCTTTGGGGCCTGCTTGTTCAATGTGAGACAGTTCAGAATAGGGGCAGCATCTGCAAAGACAATGAAGGAGGGCTTCAAGTACAATTCAGTTCCTCCTACTTGGGTTCAGGCAGTAATTCCTCAAAAGAGCTAGTGTGAAATCAATTAGCTAACAATGTGGCCTAAAGATGAAACTATTAGTTTAGGATAATTTAAATCCTCTGTCTTGTTGCATGTAGCATTTCCTCTCCCCTTAATTTGTGTGCCATTCAAACATTGACTCTGCCAAGATGCCTGTGTAAGGGAAGAATAAAGCCACTGTGCTAATAACGGGACCAATTAAGAAATTAAGTCATAATTAGAGGAGTTCTAGTGAGGAATCCGAGGGTAGTATGGGGTGGATAAGGGGTTAAACCATAAACTACTAGGCTCTCCTTGAACAGAATAAACCATTGACAGAAGCATGACACTGAAACTATTTCTAAAGATTATAAAGAGTCCCAGTTGAAAATAACTCATCTTGTGATATATACAAGAAATCCCCCCCTCCAAACAAAAACAAATGAAAAAAGTGGACTTTCGGAAAGATGAAATTATTTTCTAATTACAGAAGCAGAGAAAATATAACTAAAACAAAAATTATGAATATGACAAGGAGGTTGAGATGACAAACCAGTGCTATCCACGGCAAGCTGCCAACAGATGTTATGCTCATTGAATATTGATGAAATAATTGTTACAAAAAACACCAGTTGTACAATTACATATTTAGAGACATAACATCTTGGTGCAACCTGAGAATATGACACCTGGGACTGAAGACTGATTAAGATAGTAGTTTATGCCCTATATTGTTGATGAAAAGGAACATAGAAGTGTTAGCAGAGACAATCATAATAATGAGGGTTAAAAGGTTCCTGACATGGGAAAAATGAGATTGATAATGAATGAAGAGTGACAGAAATGCATTAATTTTTAATAGCTGTTGAGATGTGACATAAATGAGGCAGCATAATATCAAGAACATCATTTTTAAAAGCCATCCATTTGCATATTAAAGGAGGACGTGTAATTTGTGTATGCCAATGGCAAATGTATTCTCTGAACAATTGTGTAGCCAGAAATACACCATCTTCATGGAAAAAAGAATTGAGTATCTTGGGAAACATCATGACTTGCTGGTTGAAATGCTAAATAGAAATATTGGACATTGCAACATTTTGCACAGTTGTTGCTATAATGGAAAATCATGTTTGTATGTGGTAGTTGTGTGCTTCTGTTGATATGGTGTATGATATCATGATGATACCTAGCTGAATTTTTCTGCCTTAGATTAACTGGGTGAGTCGTTCCTAATCAAGGTTTTGTCCCAGAGCTTAGAGAGTATGGATGGGGAAGAATAGCCTTTGGATCAATTGTGGCAAGACCAAAGGACTGTGGGCTCTAATGCCAACCAGATCCATAGGTTTTCCACCCTTAACTTTACCATGGCTCCTGATTAAAGACCAAGTGGCAACCATGGTTATGAAGATCTTTACACAGTTTATCTTGCATACTAATTGTGCCCATTGCTGGATGGGAGGTCTTGCTCTCTCACATCTTAGTTGCCTCCCATGAGCATTATTAGTTCAGAACACAGCAATATAGACAGGTTTGGCATGTCCTGTAATACCAATACTAGCCACAGTAACTTCCAGTGGGTTTCTGGGCTGTCCTAAGGTGCTGGCTATCACTAATAAAGTCTTAAATGACATAGAGACAGATAATATTCTTACTGGTTTTTTTTAAATAAACAATGATAGAATTGCGACTATGTAAAACCATAAAAAAGCCCTGGACTAGATTGAATATAGCATTTAGTGTCACACAATATCAAACCTGAGGTAGTGACAGAGGTCACAAACATGGATGGTAACATCCATTTATTATTGTTCCCTTGTGTTTAAAGTATGCCTCCTATAATCATTTATTATCATCAAGACTTCTAGTCATTAATACCTGATTCTATGTTTTTATTCAGATCCTTTTAAAACATCTGTATTAATGATGATCGCCACAGTTGTTGCTACAGTTTAAGACAAGAAACTATCAAAGTATAGAAAAATTGCAGCACAAAAAACTTTTCTTTTTCATTCTTGAAGAAAGATTCTGGTGTATCTAAATGGCAAAATAAATATATCTACAATATTAAATCTAATTTAAACAATTAAGATTTATTTCAGTTTATAAAACATATATATAATACCTAAATACCTTATAATGCCTAAAATAATTACTCCAAAAATCTTGTAGCATACAGACAATATGGCTATTCTCCTACACAAAAAGAATTATTATAATTCTGAAACATGGTGATTCTCCCACATGGAAAGAATTATTATAATTCTTACTACTTACTACTCCTTAAGTGAAAGTTACGCAATTAAATCTAAATATGCAAAAAAATGCACAAGTAACCTCAATTATTTAAATATATTATTACTTTTCTTAATAATTTTAAATAGTAAATATTTTAATGATAAAACATGATTATAATGCTTTAAAGAAGGAATTGCTATGTTTAATGGGACTAGACTATTCACTGCAATTATTTGGGCTATATTTTGATAGACATAATTTATACAAAAACATTGTTCTCTCTTTCTATTCCACATCACTTCCCCCAAATCCATGACAGTATCATAGGGAAAACATGGACCACTTTCAAACACTGTTATTTGTGTTAGTAAGACAAATTTAAAACACTTTCTTCTATGTTAGTGGATGACTAAAACCAAAACCAAACAAAAACACAGTATTTGCATTGAAAGTATAGCAATTAAAATTTCCACTGCAGCATTTGGACTAATTTGAAATGCAAACAATTTACTTAAAGCATTTATTAAATTAAAAACAAATCCCACTGAACAAAGAGAAATGAAAATTGGACAAGAATGGTTACAGTAAAAGGATTGCTTTAATTAAATATTATTTAAATGCAACCATACTTAAAATTAAGAACTTGCTGTCCTAGAATTCTAACCCTAGAAAGCAACAATTTTTTAAAGTTCAAGCTGACTTTAAATTATTCAAATTTAAAAAAAGAAAGAAAAAAGAGGGACCATATTTTTCAAAGGAAGAACAGAATAAACAAACAAACAGACCAGCCAATGGAAGAATAATGGAAGAACTATCTTACAGTAAACTTTAAACATTTTAAATAGTGACAATAGCTTTGGGTACTCTATATACTTGTCCCACAACATTCAAATTTATAAAGTTAATAGCAATGCTATTGAACCATATAATTCAAAGTTCTTAAATCAAAATGGTCTTATTGGTAGCTTTTATATTAAACTTTAAACCATATTTTTTAACTTTAACTTTTTTAACTTTAAACCATCAAAGATATAAGAATACATTTTCTTCGGCTTATGGAAAACACAAACAGGAGAAAGTTGATGTTTCTCACTGTGAATATATCTAACCTCTTCTTGTGATCATAATGTAAAACTAACTAATGGCTAGTTTTAATAAATGAAGTTTATAATGCATGTCTGATCAACTTAAAAATCAAATTATAGCCTATGCATGCGTGGGATGCTGCAGTTAAGTAAATTGGAGAGCAAAGCCCTCTGCTGAAGAGGATAGGATTGAGTCTTGGAAGAAGTAAGGTTTGTTCACATTGAGTTCAACCATGGTTTATGTTGCTATATAGAGAATGGCACAGACAACCCAGCTTTGGTGAACTTTCTAAGTGCATATAAGCAAAATTAATAGCTGTACCTTTTGTGTAGCTTTTATCACCTGATCCTTGGCATCCATCTTCATCATCACAGTCTCCACTGGATTCTGTCTCTTTGCTCATTCCATTCCCACTGCTGCCTTCCCTGTCAATCCAACTTTCGGATTGTAAACTTGTTGTGTGGGCTGCCAGCTACAATGCAAAATATTGACAAAAGTATTCAGATTTCTAGGGGAAAAATGTAATACTGTTTTTTTAATTATTGTTCAGTTTTCCCAATGAAGTCAGAATTGGTAGTTTAATATAAATTCATTAAAAGCAATATGAACTACTAAATGGAAGATAGAGCATTACTGATGAGTTTATTATTAAAACTCAAGGCATTTTATTAGACATACTTCTGTATGCAGTCTCATCTTCTAACATCAGTCTTTTGAGCATTTTGGTTCTTTTACAGCTACCATATTAAATTTTATTTTTCAATACTATTGGTTTTAGAACATATCAATTGGCTATCAACTGCCATATTTCCTATCTTTAGCTTTTACAAGTTTTTCATTCACATTGGATTTATATTACCTCCAGTAGCTGAGGGTCTCTATACCTCTTAATAATACTTGCTGGGAAATACAAATTGGAAATTGCTATTGCGTTCAGGTCTTGAGGGTGGTAGTCCCTTTACAAGAGTTACTAGACTTCTGGCAATGCATACTCAATTGTGACCTCATGTCTTCTGTCAGCAGGCATGGCCTTTAAATCAAATATTGTCTGACTTTATCTAACAAGCTTCTTTCTTCCAGAATAGCTTTCTCCTGGTATGGTGCTTTCCCAATAAGAGTTAACCACAAATTTGTAAGCTCTGCTCTGTGACCTTAATTAGTTGATTAGTGTTCTCCCACCAGCTTGCATTGCTGCCCGAAATTGACACAATCCTTGTCAGTTACACACTTTAGTCTTTAGGTTTTCGCATATTCCTACCATTGAGGAATCAGTCTATCCTGCTGGAAAAAGAAATGTCATATACATGTACATTTTTTCAGTTTTTTACTGTAATTTACTTTAACACCATAAAGCTAAAGAGTTAACGTGTCCTCCTTTCTCCCTTTTCCAATTGTTCATATCTTTTGCCTATCCAGTTATCTACTAATCATACTCTTAAGTATCTAGTTGGTAATATGAAAGCATTGCTTCTGTTTTATCAATTGCTGCATTAAAAATACTATTTTTTCGCATTTTCTTGTCCACTGTCTTAAAAAAAGATTCTTGCTACTAACCTCCAGAGTCGAATTTCCTGTTTTTAACAAGTCAACTAACATACCCCACCATCCATATAAGAATCTCTCTGAAGGTTGGTACAGTGATGGCCTCTAAAAGAAGTGAATAATGAATTTCTGTTTGAACAGCAGAGATATTTGGCATGATTTGAGACAGCCGGAATCTGTTGTATACATTTGCATTTTGTATCACTCAATGAATCATTACTGTCTTTTATGGAAGGTAACAAAAGCATTCATCATCAACAAATGTCCCTTTCTCTTGGGGAAAAATTGAATGGTTATTCATCTCTATTTTTAAAAAAAGTTCACCCAGTGTCACACTTTTTACAGATTATTTCATTTATGGGTGTCAGAAGCATGATTTGTGCTAATAAAACAATATCCAGTAGTTAATTTTATTTTTAAACAAGTAGTTTGATGTTCTCATAGCTGCCATTCATTGTTTAAAAGCCTGATGTCATGCAGACAGGGCTGAAAAAAACTGCTTTTGGTAACATTCTGTACAAGATGAATACATGCTTAGTTGTCTCTCAGATTTCTCATGTCTTTTGAAGATCATGGAGTCAGAATGAATTGCAAAAGTTTTTTTTTTCATTTTTTCCATTGCAATTTTTTACTTTATGTATTAGTACTTAACAAGTCAAGCAAGCTGTGCAGGAATTAATCTGCTATTGCAAAAACTCCATATGATGATTACCCTGGCTGGATCCACAGCTCTAAAGATAGATGTAAAGATAGGCATAGAATTCTACATGGTATCTTGCAGTGAATCTTCTTTTACTATACACACTATTAAACATGATTTATGACCTTTTGTTCTAAGACAAATCACAGAATTACTAAACAGAAGCTTGTAACATCAGTTTCTAAAGGTTAGAGTCTCATCCACTAGAAATAAAAATATATTCTAATGCAATATCCCTCAGCAGGTTTAACCACAAGATACTAGATAATGTTTTCATAAAAAAATATTGTTTTTAAGGAAAAAGTGTGGTCCTACATAACAGTAGCAAAACGATAAAAAAGAATATTACTTAAATGCTGTAATTTCTACGTGGAACTTCAAAATGTGGAGCTAATTTTGAACTAATCACTTCATTTCAAAAAAGAGAATTTGAAATGATGATGATAATAATATGATATAATAATATATGATATATATAATGTATGTGTGTGTGTATGTATATTTATTTTTTATTTTTTATTTTATTTTGATTTGTCAATTGCTTACAAGTTAATAGGTATAAGTAAAAACATAGTTATGAGTACATGGACATATATATAAGAAAAATAAAAGAAACAATAGGACAGGGACGGCAGGCATGTTGGTGCGCTTATGCACGCCCCCTAGAGACCTCTTAGGAAAGGGGTCAGGTCAATAGTAGACAGTCTAAGGTTAAAGTTTTTGGGGTTTGGAGAAGAAACCAGAGTCAGGTAGAATATTCCAGACATTGACCAGTTTGTTGCTCAAGTCGTATTTCCTGCAATCAAGTTTGGTGCGGTTAACCTTGAGTTTGTATCTATTGTGTGCTCTTGTGTTGTTGTGGTTGAAGCTGAAATATTCATTGACAGGTAAGTCATTGCAATGTATGATTTTATATACCATACTTAAATCAGACCGAAGATGGCATAATTCAAGGTTTTCTAGGTCTAGAATTTCAAGTCTGGTGGCATAAGGTATTCTACAACGAGTAGAGGAGTGGAGAACTCTTCTTGTGAAATATTTCTGGACTTTCTCAACTATGCTAATATCAGATACGTAATGTGGGTTCCAGACTGATGAGCTGTATTCAAGTATTGGTCTAGCAAATGTTTTGTATGCTCTAGTTATTAGTGTGATAGTACCAGAGAAAAAGCTACGTAGGATTACAACTCTTAATGCCTTTTTGGCTATGTAGTTACAGTGGGCTCTAGCACTTAGATCATTAGAGATGAGTATTCCAAGGTCCTTTATAGAGCTTGGATCATCAACAAGGTCTTGACTATTCAGCCAGTATTTTATTTTCTGGGGGTTTTTTTTGCCAATATGTAAGACAAAGCATTTATTTGTTGAGATTTGATGTTGCCCTTTGTTTGACCATTCTGATACATAGTCAGGATCTTTTTGAAGGGTAGCAGTATTGTCTGTAGTATTGAACAGCTTTACATCATCAGCAAAAGAAACACATTTGCTCTTAATATGATCACAGAAGTCATTTATGTAGAATATGAAGAGGGTTGGTCCTAGAACACTGCTTTTGGGGACACCACTATTGACAGGACAGAATTTAATAGGACACCCCCAATTTTGACCATTTGTTGCCCAGGAATGCTTCTATCCAGTTATGCAGGTGTCCAGAGATACCATAAGATTTTAGTTTTAGGAGTAGTTTGTCATGTACCACTGAATCAAAGGCTTTACAGAAGTCTATGTAGATTGTGTCTATTGTTTTGCCCTTATTGAGTTGTGTAGTCCATATGTTTTTGAAGTGTAAGAGTTGCAGATTACAGGAAAGTTTTTTTCTGAAACCAAATTATTTATTGAGAGTAGGTTGTTTGTCTCTAAGTGGAGGATAATGGATTGGTTAATAATTGATTCCATGACTTTACAGGTGATGCAGCATAAGGAGATTGGTCTGTAATTTTCAGATAGGCTTTTTTGAAGTTGAGGATGACCGTGGTTTGTGACCATAGGTTAGGCAAGGAGCTGGTCCTGAAAGATTTTGCAAAGATTATGTTTAGAGGTTCTGCTATGGCAGTGGAAAGCTTTTTAAAGAAGTAGGCACATGTTCCATCCGGTCCAATAGATAGAGATGGTTTTAGATTGTGTAGTGCTTTTTCAACATTGTCTTCTGTAAAATTGATATATATTAGATCATTGTAGTTTTCTGTGGTCAGGAAATACTGGGCATGATCCATTGCTGTTTACAAATACTGAGCCAAAGAATGTGTTCAAGATGTTGGCTTTAATGGTGTCATTGTTGCAGTCTTTACCATTAGGTCCTATCAGGGCTGGGATGGACCTTGAGTCTTTTAGTTTGTTGTTTACAAAATTGTAAAAAGTGCGGGTGGAATTGGTGCGTAGAAGGTTTTCCTCTTGTTTAATGTGATAATTGGTGCATTCAGTCTTTATCTGGTGGCATAAATTTTTGTATCGGCTTTTGAAGTTGGCAACGTGACCAGATTTGTTTTTCTGCCAGAGTGATCTCTTTTTGGATTGAAGTTGTTATAGGTAATTTGTTTTTTTCTGGTTTTGGGAGTTGTTATTGGTACATATAGTTTGATGACTCTTTTGACTTCAAGTAAAGATATGTTGTAATGGTCTTCAACAGTATTGCATCCAGTGAATAGAGATTGCCAATCAAGGGATGAGAGATCATTGTCTATAAGATCATAGTTGCCTTTTTTGAAGTTATAATTGGGGATTACATCATTGTGATGATTTTTATGTGGGCGTTATGTTGAGACAAAAGTCAATCATATCGTGGTCACTGTTGGAAAAGGGTTCTTTAGTTTGTATTCTGTAAATTAAATTCAAACTATTGCAGAAGATGAGATCGAGGCAGTTGTTAAGTCTAGTATTGTTGGTTACTAGTTGTTCCAGTCCCAGATTTGTAACAGCATTGTAGAAGGTTGCATGTATGTATTTGTATGTATATAGAATAGAATAGAATATCCTTTCTGCTTTTGGGGGAGAAGGCATGAATATGAATTATTCTGGGGTGTGCGTGTGACTTCCTCCACAACTATGTCCCTGGAATACAGGCTTCCTCAAGTACCTCTAATTTAAATAAAAGACAAGATATAACTAATTTATTTCAGTGGTGAATAAATTAGTATATCTCACATATCTCTGAATAGCACACATTTAGGGAACAAATTAGAAAGTTTTCCAAACTTGGATAGGATTGCAATTTTCTATATTCCCAACTAAAG